AAATCGTAAGTGGGGGGGGGACAGAAACCCAGAAAATACATGGAAATATGGGGAATCTTCTTATTTGTGTGTATTTAATTTGTGTGTCCTGGGGCCCCTTGACTTTTCCCTTTTTTTGGTGGGGGGAGGAAGGGAAGGGAACGTGGGAGGCAGTCGTTTTCCATGTGGGGTGGGGGGGAACCGGAGGGATAGGGGGAGGGAGGGGGGGAAGGGGGGGTGGGGTCCCGGGCCGACGATGGGAGGGACCCTACCTCGACCCCGAGTCCGTTCGGACTGGGCCCCCAACCCGACCCAGAGCGCTCTCAGGGCCCATCACCTGGCCGGACAATTCATCGGGGCCCATGAGAAGGCCCCCGCCCCCCCCCCCCCAGAAGAGCGAACATTTTTTGGTACGAGGCAGTGTCTTCCAGCCTCGCTCCTCGAACCCCCTCATTTGACATCCGCCGATGTTCGGACGGGGCCTGGGGTGAGGGGAAGTCCGTTTCAGAGCGTTCCGCAACGCTCTCGAAGTGTTCCGAGAACGCTCCGAGAAGGCCGCGGCACCCGCACATGGTCGGAGGTTTGGCCCGCCTCCCCTGGAGTAGGGGCCGACCGTCCAGCGTTCCTACAGGCCTACAGTAATCGGCCTGACCTAAGGACCGATACCTAAGGAACGAAACCCTCTTCATTCCAGGGACTAATGCATAAGGAACGGTACATAATACATACATAGCGCATAAGGAACAATAGATGACGCATGCAATCCTAAGGAACGACGGAGCCCCTTTTGAAAAGTGAGTGTTCCTTATACAAGCCGCTCACTGTACCACGAAATCTGCTTATAACACAGTTCTTAGGGCACAAAGCCGATGTGTGAAAACAAGGCAGGCTCAGCCAGAACTGTTCTGAGATCCTCTCGTGAAGGCCACCAGAGGTTGTTGGAACATTCTCTGGTGGGCCTATGGGCAAGCCCGGACGCTTCGCCACTGCCTGATCCCTCGCCACCCGCCCTCACGCCGCCGCCCCCTCTCAGGGGCCACGTTCGGGGGGAGGTACTCCGGATCTCATAACAATGGGGGGGGGTCTGCTTCTGGGGGGGGTCTCACGGGCTTCGTCAAACACATTTGTGGGGGGGTCTCGATGTTGGACCCTTTGTTGCCTGTCTTGGGGGGGGGTGTCGCAGACCGGCCGTCAGCCCCTTTGTTGACCCCCCCCCCACAATTATGAGATTTGGAGTAGGCTCAGGGCAGAATGCGTCGACCCTCGATCGCCGATGGGCCGCCGATGGTGGCCCGGTAGCCCCCACTGCGCGCAGGACCTCTGCGGACTCGCGGGGCCCCATCGTCGATCCATCGGCGATGCATCCCCGATTCGAAGTCGATGCTCTGTTGTGCCAGCTCGCAGCCTGCGCGGGTGGAGATCGCACGATCTCCTGGCCCTGCTCTCCACCCCCTCCGTTCCCCGCCGCTCTCCCTGCTTTTTTGTTTGTCGAGCCGCGCAAGCTGCTGCTGTCTGCCGAGCTGCCGCGCCTCGTGGGGCATCCCCCCGGCGGACTTCTGGGCCCACGCCCGAGCCTCCGGCGGCCGTTCGGGGCGATCTGAGCACTGCTTGGTGGTCTCCAAACCAGGTGGTGAGACACCCGGTGGTGACCCCGACCCCCCCCAAGAAATAATTCTGGGTCACCGCCGGGTTTGGGGACACGCGGTCGCCACGAGGTTTTGCGTTCCCTGGGCCAGCCAGCGCTCGAAAACCATTCCCCAAATCGCCCAAAACTCACCACCGGGTGTTCTCACCACCACGTTTGGGGACCACCAAACTGCTGGAACGCGCCGGGCGAGGCGCAGCTGCTGAACGAAGGACGCCCCGAGGTTGGAAGACCTCTGGGAACCGACCGACATTTTCCAGCGCGGCGCGGCAGAGGCAATCCGCACACGCGCTCCAGTATTCGGTCGGGCGTGTCCCCCTACATAGTCTGAGCACGCTCCAGACATGGTCCAAACATAGCCCCCGGACTGTTTCGGAACTCTTTTTGAAGCTCCCCCCTGTGGAGGGACAGGCCCGACGGAACTCTAGTAGCCCGGGGCACGGCGCACTGGTTGCCCGGGGGCACGAGGGGGGGGAAGGAGGAGGCGGAGGCCGGCCGCGGAGAGAGCGGGCGGGGGAGGGCGCTCACCGCACGAAGAGGTTCGGCAGGGGTAGCCAGGGCGGCCAGGAACCGGCGAACACATCCGAGTCGGGGCTCAGGAGACGGGGGTCAGTCCAGACAGGGGCCAGCCAGGGCGCCAGATCTTGCAGGCTCCTGCAGGGCCAGGGCCGCATTGACCCAGGTGTGGGTGCAGGATCCTGCAGGACGTTGCAGGATCCGTCGCGTTGCCCCGGGTTTGGGTGCAGGATCCTGAAGGATTTTGCAAGGCTGGACTGACCCAGGTCTGGATTGACCCGGGTCAGAAGATCCCCGACTGAGCACCTTTTCTAGGAGCAGGCGGAGCACACACCACATCGTCGGAGACTCGGGCCTCCTTCCCTCGCCGCCCGGCTCGCCGCCGCCCCCCCCCAGGCTCGCCATCGGGGGCCAATCGCCGAGCGATGCATCGCCGCCTCCAGGCCGATTCCCCCCCCCCCCCCCCCCCCCCCTCTCGGAGCAGCCCCCCGCTCCCTGACCCGATATTTCAGGAGGGGGAAAAACACACAGACACAATTAATCGGCGATTCCCAGAAAATATGGGAAAATATGGGAAGTGGGGGGGAAGACAACCCCCCAGAAAATATGGGAAAATATGGAGGATGTTTTTATGTGTGTCTATTTATTTGTGTGTCCCAGTTCCCCTTCAATATTGCCAGGACCCCAGGTAAGGGGAGCTGGTCAGCGATTGGGCCCCGAGGCCCCCCCAAGTTGGCCGGAATCGTGAAGCTCGTCCGCCGTGGCTGGTGTTTCTCGATGGGCGGCAGTTCCGGTCCGCGGAACGGGGCCGGGGGCGCGCCCCCAGCACAGAGCACGAGGCCAGGTCCCATTGAACTCTTAAGTCGGGCGTGTCCCCCTACAGGGGGATTTTCGATGAAAAATAGTAAATACCCCAAACATAGTCAAAAAATAATCCAAAAATAGTTTGGGGACTATTTTTGGAATATTTTTGACCTTTTTGGAGTATTTTTGGGGTATTTTTAATTTTTCGTCGGAAATCCCCCTGTAGGGGGACAGGCCCGACATAACACTAAACCCAGTCCTGCCAGCTGACGACTTGACCCCGCCTCTTGGGCATTCGAATGACCGAGACCCCGCCCGGGCGACTCGTTCGCCCTGGCGAGATCGCGCTCGAGGCCCCCGCCTGGGCGACTCGCGCACCTCCCCCCCGAGCGACTCTGTGGAAGTTTCCGGAAAGAGGCGCTGGGACCCGCCCCGCATCCCAGCACCCCACCATCTCCGCACCCCGTTGGGGGATATACCCCTCGAAGCCCAAAGGAAGCAGCCTATATCCCCATTTAGGGGGGCAGATCAGCCTGTGGGGCCCAGGCCACGCCTATGGGGATGGGGGTCGGTCAAACGATGTTCACTGACCTCGCCCCTCATCCCTCGCCGCCCCCCCCATTCTCGACGATCGAGGATCTAGGGCGCTTTTGACGATCGAGCATCGGGGATCGCTGTTCCTCATTTCATGCCTCCAGGATTTACATATCTGTTTGTTTTACCTCTGGAGATCCCCAGGGAGGAGGAGGTCGTCGTCGTCTTGTCAGAGCTTTGCTTTGGATCGAGTCCTCGTTTTGGACCGAGTCCTCGGCGGAAGGCCTGCGGATGCCAGCAGAAGTAAACATCCGCCCGCAGGGTTTGAGTCAGGATTTCTTCTGCGGCCCATATGTGTCTCTGTCCCAAAGTGTCCCCAGTTTTTCGCTTCATTTTGAAACCCTGGGGCACTCCTGGCCTCGGGGGGGTGCCCAGGAGACCGTGGGGACCTGCCTGTAAATCCTGGGAGCGCCCTGGGCCAGGGACACCTCTGGCAATAGCCAGCCCAGGAGGGGGTCCCAGGGCCGTTTCTGAGTGGATTTTGGCGATCGTCGTCGTCCTTCGTCGTCGTCGTCGTCGCCGCCGCCGCCGCCGTCGTCGTCGTTGTCGTCGTCGTCGTCGTCGTCGTCGTCGCCGTCGCCGTCGTTGACGCCGCTTACCCTCCCGCGGCCAGGCTGTGGGGCCCCGCCTCCCTCCTCGGGGAGGGCCCCGGTGCGGCCGCGGAGGAGCGGGGGCCCGCCGCCCGCCGCTCGCTCGGCTGGCGCCGGCGGGGCCGCCGAGGCGAGCCCGAGGTGAAGGGGTACAGTCGACCCTCCTCCTCCGCCTCCTCCTCCTCCTCCTCCTCCTCCTCCTCCTGCTCCTCTTTCTTCTTCCCCTCCTCCTCCTCCTCCTCCCTCCTCCTCCTCCTCCTTCTGCTCCTCCTCCTCCTCCTCCTCCTCCTCCTCCTCCTCCTCCTCTTCCTCCTTGCCCCCCTCGTCTCGCCTTCTTCCCCGGTTCCTAGGAGAACCCAAGAGCTTCCTCCGCGCGCCTCTCTCCGGGCGGGTCTGCAGGGCGGATGCCCTGCGTGCGCGCGCGGAGCGCGTGCGCCGATCCCTGCCCCCTTCGCGGGGGCCGCCTGCCACCCCCTGTCGCTGGTACGCAATGTAGATCTTAGCGACGGGTCACGTTTCCATGGGACATCGCGGATCTCCGCCGCCAGACGAGGCGGCACCGGCTGCATTTTGGGGAGAGGGCACCTCCCCCGATCCATGGGTTTGGCGATCGCGCGCCAAATCCATGGATCGTTAATCCATGTTTGCGCGCCCCCGACCCTTCACGCCAACAAGAGGAGCAGGAGGAGGAGGAACAGGAGGATGAGGAGGAGGAGGAGGAGCAGGAGGAGGAGGAGTAGGAGCAGGAGGAGGAGGAGGAGGAACAGGAGGAGGAGGAGGAGGAGGAGGAGGAGGAGGAGGAGGAGGAGGAGCTAAATCCATGGATCACTCATCCGTGCTTGCGCGCCCCCGATCGACGCAGCCCGAGCAGG